TTATGCTTGAGATATTCTAGTGGAAGATGAGTCTTTCGACTCCCACGCTGAAATCCTCCTTGGATTCTTATTTTGCTAGCTCATTCTTAGTTCTTAGGTGGTCACCTAATAGCATGGGTATTTGTTGCTCTGATACTTGCTTGGTTAAGTAAGTATGCTTTAATTACCTTGGTTAAGTGCCTATTTTTTGAGTAAGTGGTTACTTATCACGTATTGTGTGCTTGCTTTCATATCTTGTTTAAGTTCTTGATTTCTTGAATTCTTCTCTTTCTTTCTCTTTTTGTGTGATCACATGTTCCCCATAGGATATTTAGTTCATTCTTGGTCAAGATTGAACTAAGTAGACATTAGGATTGATGTCCATGCATGACAATATTAGGTAGAATTCCCTTGATCCCAACTTTAGGTCCACAAGCATGACAACAAGTAGGATCGATATTTTCCTTTTGTTAGTCTTTTCTTTTTGCATCCCTTCTAAAACTAAAACTAAAACTCTTTTTTCTTAATCAAACTCATAAAACACTATAACTTTACTTAAACCATTTCGCAATTAAGAGGGAAGTACTCAGATACCCACACCTTTTGAGGGACCATCTGATGTATTCTCTCAACAAAAACACTCAACAAATGCAAACTATTTTTGTCTTCAGACTTTTTCTTTAAAAACTTTCATAATAAGGATGTGTTATTTATTCTCCACGCATAAGACTCATAAAGTCCCCAAAGGTTGGGAAACCCTGTATTTATTGCTAGAGTGATAATGTAACATTATCCGCCTAAAAAACATACAACAAACCAACATTTTTTAGGTGAACTACGAGTGCCCTGATCTCCTATTGAACAAAAGGTGGTATGTAGGCACAAAGGCTCACAACCGCGGCGGGTGCACTAATAAAACCTTTTCTTTTTGTATATAATCCTTTGCATCCATGCATTCCCTTTACAACCTAGATCTAGATTCAAACTCACCCTTTAGATTAGACAACAAGAGTGGACCACGTGGAGCACCACAGACGTGAGGGGTTCTAATACCCTCCTATTGCATAATCGACTCCCGTACCCGTTCTCTTGGTCATTCTACCTTGATTTCTCTCTTCTCAGGTTTTCTTCGATGTTTTCCTTTCCCTTCCGTGGGATAAATAAATATTCGACGGTGACTTTATTATTTTTCCCTAGTTGCCTCACCTGCTCGTAGAGATTTTCGGGCAAGATATCTTCCCTCGAGGTGTTAGGCATTGATTCCTTAGAGGATTTCACGTATGATGTGGGGGACCTTGGATTCCTTGATACACTTTAGGAGAGGGATAGATAATCTGCATCTATACATCTTATCCTTGATCAAGACGTAGGCACATGCTCGGCGCCTGATCACGCTGGCCTCCTTCTGGTTAGGGGGTACTTCTCCCATTGTGAGGTAGTTGTACATTGGGGTCATCCAGCAGTCACTATTGCCAATGGAAGTTACATCAAGTGTCGCTGAGGGTTTTTTGATGCTCGGGTAAGAGAGTGTCTCTTCGATAATGGACTTGTTCCCGCCTTTCTTCTTTGTGCTTGCGAGTTTTGACATGATGTTTGTGTGGGTGTTGTTCTCGCGAGGGACATGGTTCACTTCAGCAGATGCAAATTTTGTTATCCTATCTCAAACTAGGGCTAGGTACTTGGCGAGGTTGTCATTCTTGGCCTAATATTCTCCTAGTACCTAGGAGGTGACGAGCTAGAAATCATTGAAGATTTTTGCACTACGATTGTGTGGGCTAGGAAGTAGTGTCTTAATCTTCTCGCCGTGTTAATGAGGGCCATATATAATTCATCAATTTGCTGGTATATGAGTTATGGGTCTTGCTCATATAGTATATGGGCTTTTTCCCCTCGAGGGTCTCACGAATGAGAGTTGCGCTTGCGACCTTGGCTGCCACGACGAGGTAAAGGTAGAGAGTTTCCCTATTGTTTGGTCGCGAGAGGATTGATGGTTGCAATAGAGATTGTTTGAGATGGAGGAGGGCTTTTTTGCACTCCTCATTGATTCAAACGTTATTTCACTGTGGAGGAGCTTAAAAAAGGGAAGTGCGTGTTGGGAAAATTTCTCTATGAAGTAGGATAACGAGGTGAGTATCCCGTTTAGGGATTGGATTGATTTCTTCTAGTTATGTGTTTGGAATTAGGAGAAGGCCATGCATTTGTATGGATTCACTTAGATTCCTCATTCTGTTAGGTAGAAGCCAAAGAACTTGGCTGCTCGAATGCTGAAGGTGCACTTCTCCGGATTGAATCTCATCTTGCATTTCCTTGCATAGTCGAATACTCTCTTCAGGTGAAGTGTATGGTCGGATTCCTCTTGGGATTTCACGACCATGTCTTCCATGTATACTTTGAGCATGTCTCTAATTCCGCCTCGAAGACTTTGTTCATCATTGGTAGGTATGTAGCGCCAATGTTTTTCAGGCTGAAGGACATTACGTTGTAGTAATAGTTGCCCCAATCGGTCATGAAGGCCGTGTACTTTTTTTAGTTTTCTCCATGGGGGTGTACCCTGAATACGTTTCCATAAAAGATAATAATTTATATCCATAAGAATTGTCAACTAATTTATCTATGTTAGGTAATGGGAAAGCATCTTTAGGGAAAACCCTGTTGAGATCAGTATAATCAACACACATCCTCCACTTTTCATTAGCTTTTTTTAAGGAGTATAACATTTGAGTTCCAGGTTGTGTATTGGGCTTCAAAAATAAAATTTGCCTCTAAGAGGTCTTTACAGCTTTTTCAGCAGCCTCTACCTTCTCGGGAGACTGCCTACTGAAACAACCGGCTGAAAATCATCAAAACAATGAAGTCGCCATTGAACGTCTTTTATCCCATATGAAGGGAAAGGTAAACATCGAGAAAACCTGAGGAAGGGAGAAGTCACGGTCTTGCAACCGAGAGATCGGGTAAGGGAGTCTGTTACGCGAGGGGAAGGTATTAGCACCCCACACGCCCGTAGTACTCTATGGTATCCACTCTTGTTATCTATCTTATTGGTGTGTTTAATCTATGCTTACTGTTTACTATACTACTGAAGGGAATGCATGCATAAGAAAAGGAAAAAAAATGTAGGGAAGAAAATAAAATTATGCTCTTGGGCCCTATCCTAATGCCTACGTATCCCTTTTAAGGAATCAGAGCAGCCGTAGTTCGGCTCACATGTTTTTGTTTGTTTGTATTTTTTTTACCGAACAATATTAATTTCGCCTTCTGCCGCAACTCGACCTTTGGAGACTTACGCGTCAGCACAGAAGTGAATTAACATGCTCTCTTGAAAAGTTTGGAAAGAAATGTGCCTGGACGCACAAAAAGTTTTGAATTCGTTTGTTTTTGAATGAACGATAGTAATTTCGCCTTCTGCCGCAACTCGACCTTTGGAGATTTACGCGTCGGCACAGAAGTAAATTAATCATGTCCTTACCTGAAAAGGGTTTAAAAGAAAAGGTGCTCGAGCGCACAAAAGATTTGAGTTTGTTTTGTATTTTTGTTGTAGATAATGACTAGTCGACCTCAAGAGAGAGATATTAGTCATTTTTCTACTTAGCCATGAAAGGAGTTTTTGAGAATTGAACCACACCTATGCTTGAGATGAAGAATAATAAGATCGAGAAGAGATCCGCTTATCATTTCTCGTACTAAGAAAAAGCATGATTCTCATCAGTAGTTTTAAATTGTTTTGAATTTTGAGAAGAAAAAGAAGTTTTTGTTTTAAATGCGAATGCAAAAGGGCAAGAAAAGTTAAAGGGGGATTAGCCTATTTCTAAAATGATGTTATCGTGCATTAGACCTAAAGTTAGAATTTTGAAGGAATTCTACCTAATGTTAGCATGCATATGGTTTGCGATAAAGAAATGCAATAAAGTGAGAAACGAGGGATAAAATAAGGCCACGATGATACCGAACGGAGAAGGTCCGTTGCCTCTTTAAAGCCACGCAAGCGATAAGAGAACTCTACAAAAGTTGCTCCGTATGAGTAATCAAAAATTGATCTCCAGATATTCCCAATTACGAAGAGATTTCATCAATGTAATATCACAAAATTCTAGCTAAAAAAAATGACAATGAAAATGATCATCGGACATGAAAATAATAGAAAACTCTAATTAAACATCTAAAGAGAATTTCTATTATCAATAAGAATCTCTTACTATTTTTATATCTCTTTTATCATCAAAGTTATGAGAAGAATATAATAAGGAGAAAAAAAAAACAATTAAGTTTAAAACAGAGAGGTGTTAAAATCTGGATTAGGGTGCATAATACTAGGCCCATAGGAGATAAACCAGTAAGCCATTTTTTTTGAACCAGCTTTAGTTTCCAAAAAACAAAATGGTGGTGGGCCTAGTGAATTCGGCCCATTCTCCAACTCCAACTCTATTTCATCCTTCAGCATAATGCACTGACAATAAAGATTAAACAAAATTAAAATTAAAGAAAAAAAACAAGGGAACAAGGTGTCGTTTTGTGGAAGATTTGTGTTAGGGTTGGAAAATAGTGATATTCAGTTCTCTTGTCCCTCTCCTTCCACACAGAAACGGTGCGGTCGTTCCTCTCGCCATCTCTTCTCCATCGTGAACCCACCATCTACAAATCTCTGTCTTCTTCAAGCTTTTCTAATAACATATCTAAACTCTCTCTTCGTCTCTATCCTCTATCAAACTCAATAAGCTCTGTCTCAGTTTGAACTCAACCTCGTCCGTCATTTCAAGAATGGAATAGAATAATCACATAATGCGGCCACAGCACCGAAGCTTGAAGCAAACCGCGAAATTGCAAGAGAAAACCATGGAGGAGCCGAATCTGTTTCTTCCAGGTATACAGATTCTTTCGCTTTCTTATCCCATTTCTTCTCCCTCTACTCAATTCTGGTGTGTGGTTTGTTGTGTTATCTTTGATGCATGAATCAATATGATTGTTGCTGGTTCAAGGTTCGCGATGCTAGTACGAAGTGACGTTGATGTAGTTGTGTGATGAAATTAGATGTGCAGGTTTGCAGTAGGTGAGGTTGAAGAGTGATAGAAGTTGGATGAAGAATGAGTCAATGGTGGTTGTGAAAGGAGGAAGATGAAGTTTGATATGAGGGATTCTTGATAATGTAGATGAGTTGCGGTTATGGCGTGAAGGTCAATGGTGATGACGAGTGAATATGGGAATGTGGAAAATGGTGGTTCAGAAAAATGGTTGAGAAGATGCAGAGGAAGGTGATGCTTGAAGGCTCCGTGAAGACGAAATTCAAGGGGCGAGAGAGAGTTTTCAGCGATTGATTTTGGTGATTCTCCAATTGGTGAGTTTCTTGAGACTTTTCTTTGTGTTGAAATACTGTAATGAATCTGAATGAATGATGATATCCTCTTCCCCTCTGAATTTCTTTTCTCAATTTGTAATTGTTGATTCTGATGTAGAGAATGTGAAGGCATGGTTTTATAGACGTTGTTGCGCACTTGCGGTTGAAGACGGACATTGTGATAAAGATGCTGTAATTTCGTTGTTGATGCAGAAAGAATTGAAAAGTGATGGTTGCTACTGTTGAAGTTAAAAGAGTTTGTTGAAAATGATGGGAACATGGAGAAACTATCGCTTATTGATGGTGATTGGAGATGTACAAAGATGAGCACAGTTGTAGAAGAAGTTTATTGCAACAGATGATGATGGTGAACGTTGAATTGATGTAGTTACATTTGTTCTTGCAGTGAGAAGCGTGATACGAAATTGATGATAATTGGCGCGTCAAGGTCGTGAGATGAAGATTGTTGAAGAAGAAGGAGGGTGATGGAGGAAGAGGTTTGTGGAGGTTCTTCTGCAGAATTGCAGGCTTGGATGAATTGGTAAGTTTTTTTTTGTCTTTCTCTGAATAAAAATAACAATGCATCTCTGTGTGTGACTTGATGAAAAAATTCCTTCTTTTTTTCGATCCTCTATCCCTCTTTCTCTTATATCAGTTGTATTGATTATTCATGGTGGATCAAAACAGTTAGAAAGTTAGTTATTCTGTTATCACTATTGGGAGGTTGGTTAGAGGAAGTTATGAATTTGTTAGGTGGTTAGGAGAATTCTGTTTGTAGGTTGTTAGTAGTTTGTTAGGAGTTAGAAAATTCAGTTAAGAATAGTTTTCTATTAGAAAATTTTGGTTAGAAGTTTGTTATGGTTACAAGTTAGTTGTATTGAAATTCTGTTCGTAGTTAGTAGTTTAATTGTTTAGAAGTTAGAAAATCTGTTATGAAAAGTTAGTTGGTAAGCTGAAGGTTATGTCATTGGCTTGTTAGTATCAGTTCTGATTGTGGATTGTTTTGACGCGATTTTACAGGTTGAGTTCCAAGTGGCCAGTAGGATTTGTGTTGAAGCAGTGTGAAGATTATGGTGAAGAGGTAAGGTCAAACTGTGGGATTTCGTGGAAGACATATGAAGATTAGGCTTTGGTGTTGTGTAGGATTTTTATAATTTCTTTTGTAACATGATGGTAAAATTGTAATGAAAATGTCTTGAATGCCATCTTGTATTGTAATGTAGCATGGAATTTATTCCCACCAATCCATAACTTTTTTATATTCTGAAATTGATGTAGAAGAAGGATATTGAATGTATCTTAATGAGCTTTCTCTATTTCATCAAACAATTACACTGTAAATGGGTTTCTTCTAATAGCATCTGTTAAAATGCCTCCTTCTCCATAACCAACATAACCTGGGGAAGATCCTATCAACTTGCTCACTGAATGGCGTTCCATATATTCACTCATGTCTAACTGTATCATGTTCATTAACAAATACTGCAGAAGTTAAATAAAAATCCAGTATGAGTTCATTGCTATCCCCAATTCCAGATGTGGCATAATATTTTAGCTTGCTCTCCTGAACCATTTTAAGCATGGACTGAACCATTCTAATTTCTCCCTAATAAACTTCTGGTTTTTTTGTAGAAAGTAAGTAACAGTTGCGTTCTTTTTTCATCTTAAAGGCTTCAATAGAAGCTTTACTTCCAGCTTCGTCTATGAGGTCAATAACTTTATTAGGTAGATACCTATCAGCTATGTATCTTGTTGACAAATGAACTGCAGCCTTTAAGGCATCTTCCGTATATATGCATTTGTGATGTTCCTCGAATTTATCACGTATACCCATGAGTATGTTAATTGCATCACCCTCACTTGGCTCACTGATCCAAACAGGTTGAAACCGTCATGCCAAAGCCTTATCCTTTTCAAAATGAAACCTGTATTCTGTTGCTATTTTTATTTCTTTCAGAACTGTCATAAGCTTACTTAGTCCTTAAGAAAAGCAAGAAACTTGAAACCAATCCAACAATTGAAATGCAACCCCACCATATAAATGTCTGCATATAGCATTTCCTTCCCATGCACAAAGACATCTCGCGCAGCCATATCGATTGTCCTGAACTTGTGGCCTTAGAGTCATAAATCAATGCTGCAAGAAGGCCATAAAGACATGAACCTAAAGGAATGTTTGTGATGAGGATGTTGTGGTTCACACCAACACTGTTTGGACCAAATAGCTCCGATGTTATAGATACTGCCGCAGAAAACACAAAGCCAGAACTTAATCCAATTAAGCTTCTGCTTAATTGTAACACCGTTTTAGTACCGGATATGGCTAGTAAAATAAATGCAATTGGTGTTGGTACCAAGGCTGTTGCAAACCATCCAGTTCTTGCAATGTGTGTCTTGCTGCTAAATAAGTCGGGTGCGGCTGCAAGAAGCCGACCGAAAAAGGAGCACGTGGAATAAAGTGTCACAAGAGAACTTTTCTCAAAGTTATATCCAAGTGATTGAGAAATTTGTCCCAAGTTATTACTATAAACCAATCCAATTGTTCCTCCACGGAAATAAGCAATGTAATATAACCAAAAGTCCCACCTACGAATCAACATCTTAGTTGTATGTTCTTCGCCAAGCATTATAATCTTTTCCTTCTCCAACACATTCGCAAAACAATAACTCTTCTCAATCATCAAGCTTTGTACACTTTCGTTACTCCTTACATCATTATCCTCCTTATAAATGAGTTCTTTGTGAAGTTCGTTTTCATCGTTATTGTCAACAAGAGAGAAAATTGTAGGGAGAGTACAATAAGACAATTGTTTCAAATTCACAATGCTTGGCAAGAAAATGCGTTGCTAAGAGAAAAATCGCGCCGACAAGGATAACACGGGCGACGGTCAGGGAGGACGATGAGAGGGAATATAGGAAGAGAAGGTAAAGGCCTGTGACAAGTGCAAGGATGTTGAGGCAAAGAAAAACTATGGACTCACGGAGGTTAAGTGAGTTGGTGGAATGTTGTTGAGGTTGTGGTTGTTGTTGGAGAACTGGAATGAGTACTAATGCTGAAATGAGGAGAGGAACAGTGGCATTGAGTAAGAGATAGAGAGTGTCATTGTTTGAGTTTATTGCATTGGCAATGAGAGTGTAGAAAGCTGCACTTACACCATTGAAACTGATGCTTAAAGATAATGCAAGTGAACGGTTAGTTGTGAAATTTTTTTTATGCATAATACATAGCAGATTATGTTGAACCAGCAAATGCTACATCCTGCAATCAAGCATAGGAAAAATACCAGAAAGTAAGGCAAAGCAATCAATCTCTGAATAACAAGCCACTGGAAGCCATAACCAAGAAGCCCCAAGAAAGCAGACATGAACATAATAACCCACAAAGGAAAATACATGAGTGAAAAACCAGAACACCACCCAAAAGCTTTCCCCATATCAGATGCCACTGAAAGACAATTCAGCTGAAGCCGAGTTGTCTCAAGAACTGATTTCAGCTCAGATGAATAGGATGAGAAATCAAAGTTTGTCCCAGTGAATGCTTGTATCCAAACAATAGCTTGTACCAATTATTCGTAATGCCTTGACTGTCAAGCAACCAAATTTACCATACAAAATATCTTGAATCATGACGTCCCCAATCCTGATTGATTAACTTAAGGATAGATGAACTTAATGCAACAATGACATAGTCAACAACCTGTAATGCAAGCATCATATGCATCCTGGATTGATAACAGATCTTGATCCTTTAGAGAAATCTTAATACCCTTCTAGTATTGACAAAACCTTGACCAAATGATAAGCACAATGATAGAATGAGGTGTTTTGAATCATGTACGCGAGATCACAATATTACATTATTGACAGGAATACCCTGCAACCTATTGTTCAGCAGAAGATAATAGCCTTATAGCTTGATGGAGAAGAAATCCAAAAATGAGAATGAACCAAAACCCTAATTCCACAACTTGCTGCCTGAATAAGAAATCATCCCTTATTGGATACGAGCACCTTAACCACTGGGAAACCCTAGTATCGCACAACCACTGAACTTTGAACCTCAGAGCTATATTGAATGAAATGTATGCCATGTTAGTGACCTATTGAAATAGATGCAGATGAATGCAAAAGTCTAAGCCAAAAAAGTGCAATTAGGAGGGCAAATTTTGGGGTGCAACAGTTGCCCCTATTTAATCGCCTTCAATCCTGAAGGTGAGATTGGCGTCAGCCTTTCGAACTTTCAGGGTGGAAGAAGATTAAATACTAAACGAACCCGAAAATTTGCGCTCCGAAGCCAGTCAGGTATTTATTATATCTTTGGTTTTTCTGTATCTTCTGTATATATTTTTTTTGGTAAAAAGGATTATCAGGGTTAGATGTATGTTTAACCAGAGTTTGACACACCGAAGGATAACTTGGTTATCGAGGAACTCTGTTGGGATTTAGTAACAAACACCTGTAAGAAAGATATCAAAAGATATATGCCTGGAGTCTGTAGCAGACATACGAAAAGAAGTATCAGAGACACATATCCGTGGTGGGTATCGGATACGCACAAAAGAGACATCAAAGATACATATCAGTGGTCGGTATCGGATACGCACAAAAGAGACATCAAAGATACAAGAATATATGTCTGGGGTTGGTAGGAAACATATAAAACAGGTATCAAAAATACATATTCGTGGTTGGTATCGGATACATACGAAAGAGATATCAAAGATACATATCCGTGGTTGGTATTGGATACGCACAGAAGAGATATCAAAGATACATATCCATGGTCGGTATCAGATACGTACGAAAGAGACAGACCGAAGAAAGCCCTTACAAAGATGAAGATGTCAAGAACACATGTTTGGGATTGGTAGCAGATATATGAAACAGGTATCAAAAATACATATCCGTGGTCGGTATCGGATATGTAAGAAAGAGACAGATACATATCCGTGGTCGGTATCGGATACGCACAAAAGAGACATCAAGATACACATCCGTGGTCGGTATCGGATACGTACAGAAGAGACAGACCGAAGAAAGCCCTTACAAAGATGAAGATGTCAAGAACACATGTCTGGGATTGGTAGCAGACATATGAAACAGGTATCAAAAATACATATCCGTGGTCGGTATTGGATATGTAAGAAAGAGGTATAAAAAATACATATCCGTGGTCGGTATCAGATACGTGTGAAAGAGGTATCAAAAATACATATCCGTGGTCGGTATCGGATACGTGTGAAAGAGACAGACCGAAGAAAGCTCTTACAAAGAAAACACCAATTGAAGGTGAGCTTACTGAGGGAAGAGACCAAACAAATGGGACCCCTGACAAATGATACCAGTCGACGATGGATTTTAACAAATGATACCAGCCGAAGCGGGATTTTGAAAGATACCTGCCGGAGCGGGATTTTAACAAATGATACCAGCCGAAGCGGGATTTTGAAAGATACCTGCCGGAGCGGGATTTTGAAAGATACCTACCGGAGCGGGATTTTGAAAGATACCTACCGGAGCGGGATTTTCAACAAATGATACCAGCCGAAGGTGGATTTTAAAGGATGCCAGCCGAAGGTGGACTTTAGGATAAAGAAACCAGCCGAAGGGGAATCTTCATCCAGGAATACTATGCCGAAGGTAGATTCCTAAGAAAAGAACGCCGGTCGAAGGCGAACTTACAACTGCAAAGAGACCAGCCGAAGGGGACTCTCAACAAATGGTACCAGCCAAAGGTGGATTTTAAAGGATGCCAGTCGAAGGTGGACTCTAGGATAAAGAAACCAGCCGAAGGGGAATCTTCATCAAGGAATACTATGCCGAAGGTAGATTCCTAAGAAAAGAACGTCGGTCGAAGGCGAACTTACAACTGTAAAGAGACCAGCCGAAGGGGACTCTCAACAAATGATACCAGCCGAAGGTGGATTTTAAAGGATGCCAGCCGAAGGTGGACTCTAGGATAAAGAAACCAGCCGAAGGGGAATCTTCATCAAGGAATACTATGCCGAAGGTAGATTCCTAAGAAAAGAATGTCGGTCGAAGGCGAACTTACAACTGTAAAGAGACCAGCCGAAGGGGACTCTCAACAAATGATAAAGGTATGTATATCTGGTCAGAGTTAGATACACAAGAGAGAAGTTGATCATCAAGAAACAAATGTTTAGAATTGCTAGCGAACACAGGAACGAGACTAACCGAAGAAAGCCCCAATAAAAAAGGATGCATTCGTCTAAACAAGGGCGCCAGACAACTGGACTTTGAAGAGACATTGAAAGACTCTTAATCATAAAAGATTAGCTAGGCTAACGAAAGGAGGACCTGACTGACGCGGATAAACCAAAATAAGGAACCGACTAAGCAGGATCTTCAAAGAGCACTAATAGAAGGTGAACTCTGCAAGAGAAAGGGACTGGTCAAAGCAGACCCTAATAAGGATTGCCAAAACACGTTGGGCTTTCAATAAGTTGCAAATACGCAAGGACTACAAAAATCCCTCAGGCCAAAGGCGAGATGTTAATTCTTCAAGAGTGGCAATTGCCAGAATTACCACACACCAAGTATGGATACTCAAACACTTGAAAAGCAAGAAAGGTTATACACCGACTCTTACTCACACTCTAATGGCAAAGCAAACACGGGTAAAATAACCGAAGGCTTGCAAAGAAGAGCACAAACCACAAACTTACTGGGGAAATGGAGAAATACCAAAGACCCGACTGGTGGTGAATCCAAACAAACTCTGCTGGGGAAACATAATAGAATTACCCTAGGCTTCTTGTGGGGGTAAATCAAATCTGAGCGCATAACAATCTGGTTGCCACAGGTGGACACAATTGGCTTATACTCATGTATGTTTGAACTTTTTTTTTATAGTGTGATGCTCCATGCAATGGAAATGCTACGAGTTTTGGGAGATGCAATGTAATGATGCAAGTTTAGTAATGCATTATGAAGACATATCAATAATCGGCTGCTGAGAAGTCAGTGAACTTCAGGAAAATTATTCTTGCACACCGGATTTTCTGTAGAGAAAAGGCAATTTGTACTTCAATGGGGAACCGAGATTTGGAATCATCAATGTCTAAAGATCGATCACTGGGGAAGTAACTTCCTGGGAAGATCATTACAAAAACAAATTGTAGTCCAGTGAAAATCTTGGATTCTGATCAAACTCCCAACTTCACGGGGAATAAGTTATTTATCCTCTGTTGGAAAGAGGAGAGCTTTGCTAGGAATGGAAACTTCTGGCATAGAAATTCTTTGACGAAGATAACTTCTATTGGGGAGTATATAAATTCTTAAATAAAAAGAATTCTACTCAGGCCGCACTGAGGATAACATTGTTGGGAGGTAAAATATCCTCACTTGGGGAAGAAACAACATCCCGGGATAGAAACTCCACTAGGGATATCTTAATAAAATCTTCTACCACTGGTAACGAAAGAGTTATGACTGGAATTCTTTTTGTACAACTCACCAGAGAGAGAGGACACTTGCTCCATTAGGGAAAAAAGAAGAATTCCACTGGGGAAATTGGATCTCATTATACGAATATCTTCGTGTTAGTCACATACAGACCCTTCTTGATTCATTTGTTGGTATGCATTTTGTCATGCAAGACCAACAATACTTGCAAAACAGAAATTGGGGTGACGTGCCCCTGTTTGGAATGGAAAACCTTACCGAAGAATAGACAATTTGAATTATCAATTACCGGGTAAAAATCGTGATGCAAGATTGCAACTTCAACATGTCGACTCCGAGGAGGAATGCCACTAAAAAAAATGGACTTTAGAGGAGATGCTGCAAAAATAAATTGCAGTCCAAAGAAAAGGGATCAATCTAGACTTTACACAGCTTCTATATTTCCAGGGAGAAAGCATATTCTCCTACTGCAGAGAAATGAGGATGCTTCACTAGGGAGAAAATATCTTAGAAAAGAAACCCCCTGGTAGATGGGTCTATGTCAAGTAGCAAAAGGTCTTTTACTGGGAGTAGGCATCCCCCTAGGAAGCAATATTTCCATCGCATCTTGTACGTGTAAACAATCTTCAAATGATCTTTGTGTTACAGCTCATATCTTACTGAGGATAACAATCCAAACTTCAATTGGGGGTAATAATCTTGACTTAGGACAAAGGATATCAGTAAGTGGACTTGAGTCCTTGATGAGTCGAAGATACAATCTTGACTTCTCAGCATGATTTTCAACTTCATAGGTCCTTTAGCCTGCGTATGGACTTGGTTTGGTCAACCACTCAAGAAGAGAGAAAGCCCTTACATGAATTCTTGCCCCTGTCTGTAAGGCTTTTGCAGAAAAATTGCCTCGAGAGGACTTTTTGAGATTTATACCACCAAGATAAACTGCCCCAGGGTTATGAACTTCGGAACATGATGTTCAGATAACCGAAATTGGAGAGGATTCCAACTATGC